GAGGGGCGGCGGCGGGCGCGGAGCGCGGGCGGCTCGGAGGATCGCACCGGCGAACGGCGGCGCGGAGCGCCCGGGCGGCGCTCGGGAGAGCCATGGGCACGGCGGGGCCGCCGCCCGCCGCCGCCTTAAGTACGGCCCGCGCGGGACCGCCCCTGGGCTCTGCTCCACGGCCCCGCTCCGCCCCGCCTTTGGCCGCGCTCTGCTGCCGCCGGAACCGGCCCCGCGGCCCGGCGCTGCCCCGGCACCGACACCGGCACTGGGACAGCGACTGATTCTGAGATCGGCACCGGCCCGGCAGCGGGACTGGGAATAGGACTGGCACTGGCATCGAGACAGGCATCAGCACCGCCAGGGGGTTGGGAACTGGGATCGGGATCGCCACTGGGACTGGGACTAATTCCGGGACTGGCACCGACACGAGGACAGGGACCGGCAGTGGAACTGGGAACGGGACCGGCACCGAGACCGGCGCTGGAACCGAAACCGGAAGGGGCACCAGGACTCCGACCTGGACAGGAACCGGGACCAGCACCGGTACCGGGATTGGCACTGGGATCGGAACTACGAGCAAGACCAATGCTGGCATAGGTACCGGGTAGGGGATAGGAACCGGGACTGGCAAGGTCACCGGGACCAGCACCAGGACTGGAGCCACCCTGCCCAGTGCACCCCGCTCCCCCAGCCCCCTGCCCGGTGCCTTCCCCAGTCCCATCCCCTCGAAGCAGCCGGTCCCAGGGGCACCTCCCTCCCCGAAAGCCCCAGGTAGGGCCTGGAGGGGCAGGTGCCCCTGGGCTCGAGGGGAGTCCTGGGTGGGGCCTGAAGGGAACTCTGTTCTTGGAGCGCTGCTGGGAGCGGGGCAAAGAGGAGCTCATGCCCTTGGAGGAGCCTTGGGAAAATTGTGAAGGTCCCAAGGGAGCCCTGAAGGGGACCTGTGGGAAGCACTGGGGCCAATCCTGCGGGGCCAAGGGGCTACTGACTGCTCAGGCAGCCCCAGCGAGGGCCAAAGGATGCATCAAAGGGTGTTTGCTCCCTCGTAGCCATCCCTGGGGCAGGCTGTGGTATGTCCAGCCTTGGGAACTGGAAACACATTGAGAAGGGATCTCAGACCTGCGGGACCTGTTATGGGAGAGATGTTTCAAGCCCCTGTACTTGCTCCTGTCCTCCTGATGGGTGTGTGAACATTTTAGGAGTTTCAGCTGAATCCTCATTCATTTGGTGGGGTCCATGGGTGCTTGGGTTGCTTGAGGCAGGAGACTTGGCTCCCTCATCATGGGCTGGGGCTGTTGGGCTTCGCCTGCTCCACGGAGCACCGGAGAGGGCTGGCAGGACCTCGGGATCTTCCCAGGCAGGGCGAGTGCCTGTCCTTCTTGTGGCAGGCGTTTGCCTGAGCTGTTCCTCCCCGGCGCACCCAGTGCTGAGCTCCGGAGATTACCGAGCACATCCCTGACACCCCACGTCCAGGAATGCTCCTGAGAGCTGGCCTGGGAGATCAGGTACCTCCCTTCCTTTTCGCAGGATTGTTTCACAGCTGCATCACAGCTGCATACTTTCTCGTGCCCATGTCCCTTCTCTGTGCCCTCATCCCCTCTCTGTGCCCACGTCCTTTCTCTGTGACCATATTCCTTCGCCATGCCCACCTCTCCAGCCCCGTTTCCAGTGGCTCCCGGAGGATGACTCCGGACTGATGAAGAGCTGTCCAAATCCAGCTCCTCAGTGACATCTTGTGCTGGGAATGCTCAGCGCAGGCAGGAGATGGGAAAATTAGTTCCTGCAATTGTTTTTTCCTGCCCTCCCCAACACTGACATTGCTGTAACCGGCAGTGAAACTACGGGGATTCCCTGAGCTCATTTGTAAGGTTTTCTTTGGGAACATCTTGTCCTTCCACGGAGACAGCCAGGCAATGGCATTGCCTCTGACAGAGCTGGGTACAAAGCTCTGGAAAAGCATCCACTTCCTTCAAAACATTCCCTGTGCTAACTTTTGTGCCATTTAAAGATAATAATAATTCACCCAAAGTTCCTCGCCGTGATGAGACTGCACATATGAACTCTTGGGATGCAGTTCAAACCTTGTTTCTCAGCCAACTGCCACAGAGAAAATTCCTTCAAAGGCTCTAATGGCACCAGTCACCCCTGGGAAACACTTACCCGGTCTTAGCAGGGAAAGCTTCCAAGTGCTGCTTGCTGTGCCAGCAGAGCTGCAGCCCTGCAGGATCTAGCTGGGTGCAAAACCAGGTCTGAGTTTCTGAAGAAACTTTAGTCTCAGACCTAAACTCAGAGATGAAATGGTAAAAAGCCACTTTTGATGGAGGTGAAATCTGATGAGGTTTCTCTCAGGATGGTGGTGCCTGAAGCAGAGAAAATCCCTGAGCTGGCAGCCCTGCCAGTGGCAGGGAGATCAAAAAGGGGTGCTCCAGGCTGCCGTGGGGACCATACCAAGCTCTTGTGGGCCACTGTAGGTCCTTGCAGAGCACTGGCCCCCAGCTCCCAATCTCCCTTGGATGTGACATTATGCCCTCAAGGCCACTGTCCCTGCCTCCACCATGCTCAGGCAGGTGCTGCTGGCACAGAGGGCAAGTCTCTGCTCACGGTGGCTGCAGCTGACATGGGAAGCTCAGTCCAGCCCATGGCTGGAACACACATCACAGACACAGCCATGCTGCTCTATCCCACATGGGGAACATGACCAAGGCTGGATAGCACAGAGCCAAGTCCTTCCTTGGGCACTCTCGCCTGCACCAGGAATGGGAATAAATCCAGGAGAAGCTGTTATGGATGGCTTGAGAAGCTGTAAAATGTGAAGAAACATTTGAAAGTGAGACAAATAGGCAAGGAGGGAATTTGGCACAGGAGGAGATGCAATTTAGGAGAGGCCACGCCATGCATATTTCATGGGAGGGCCCTCAGCAGAGGCTCCTCTGACACCACAAACATCACAGATGGCAAGGAGTAACAGCAGCCGCTCCCAGCATCTGGGAAGGAGGACAGTGGGATGATCGCTCCTCCTGCCACATGGTAGAAGTGGGCCAGGACACAGATCCTGGAAGCTGCTGGCTCTTCTCCATGGGTGTGGGACCAGCCTTCCTCACCCTCCTCTTCCTCCAGCCCAGTACCAGGCTAGGGGCAAGCCTGCTCCATCCTTGGGGCTGGAGCTCTGTCCTCACTGTCCCACAGCTCTGCTGCCCCAGCACTCTGTTCTTCCAGCATTGCTCCTCTGAGGTTTCCTTGGAAAGTGCTGACTCAGGTCCTCCTCTGTTGGATGTTTCTCACTGACCATATGCCTGACTTACCTGCGCTACCAAATCACTCCCAGCGCAGGCCAGCGTGCAGGAGGGACACCTGCAGCCTGTGGGAGCAGGGTGGATCCTCAGCTGGCATCTGGCTCTGCCACAGGTGCCCCTTGGAACAGCAGGTGCTGCGGTGGCAGGAGCTGGGTGGGTCAGAGTCTGACGTGGATCCACTGGCAAAACTCAGGAGAAGGGGGACTTCAGGACAGTGCTTCCCAAATTGCAGCCACTTGTGTGTTCTCATCTTGAATGGGGTTATTTTTCTTCACGAGAGGCTTCATCTCCCTCTGTGCAACTCTTCAGGGAGAACTCCAGATCTACTGCTGCCCACTCTGAGGGGATAAACCCCTGTGGGGTGCACAGGAGCTCCCAGCTCCTGTGGGTGTGTTTGGATAATGAGTTAGTGCTCTCTGACTCTGCCCAAGCACCCTGTCAGCCTCAGTGTCACCCTCCTGGGGGTGAATCTGACTTGTGCCACAGTATGGACCACACTCTGGCATCACGATGGAGGAACCAGCCTTCCTTCTCACAGCTGGGGAACCAGGGAACTGCATCCTTCCCCTTGCACTTGGTGCTGCAGAGGCTGCAGGAGGTTCAGCTGCTCCGGCAGGATTAGGGGTGATCCCTATCCAGGTGTGGCACAGGCAGGTGAGGCTGCAGCAGTTGGTGTCCTGCCTCCATGAGAGCAGAGTAAGAGTTTGGGAACTTGCTGGTCACCTGGGGAGTCACAGGGTGGGAGCACCAGTTCCTGGGGCATTCATTTGGGTGGGGGGCCCTGGAGAGAGCAGCTGAGAGCTGCCACAGACCCTGCAGAGGAAAGAGATGCTGGGTAGCTCCTCTTGCAGGTGATCTCCTGGTCAACCCAGACCTTGCTCTCCCAGCATGGTTGGATTTGAAAGCCAGGCTGTGTTCTGATCCCTGGCATTTTCCACCTGCATCCCAATGATTTTTGGTGAATCACTTGTAGCCTAAGAAATGTCTTCTTGGTTCTTCCTGTGAGCTCCTGGGTGCAGCTCAGTAGCCATGAGAAAATACCCAGGTGAATTCCTGGTGAATACCAGGTGAAGTCTCCATAAAGGTCAATGCTATTAAAAAAAAAATTGCCTCTGAAAGGGACCCTAGGAAATATCCAAGGCAAGGAAAGACACATCAGACTTACCACATCAGTTAATTCTTTCTTTGCAGAGAGTCCTTCTCTTTTTCCATCCACTGGCAGATGGGAGTCATGTGAGATGTCCACAAGTGTGCCTGGGGGAAAAGGAATGCCAGTGAAGACCTGAAACAATTTTGCTGCTCTTACAGCTGAGAAAGGATCATGCTGTAAAGTTTCTGTGGAAGTGGGTCCTGGGAAATGGACATGAAAAGCCTTTTTTTCCGGCTGACTCCCTTGGCGGGTGAGTCGTTTACAGAGCCTGGATGCCAGAGTGCCTGGAAGGGAGCCAGTTCTATTTTAGCCCTTTGTAAATGATTTAAACACCTCATGCTGGGAAAACATTCCCAGGAAAGGGGATGTTTGGCTCTTCTTCCTGGGCAGACCAGGGATGTGCAGGAGGTGGTGGGAGGCAGAAGGAGCCAGCCCTGGCAGGGACAGCAGGAGTGTGTGGTGAGGATGGCTGTGCCCCTCCTGTCCCCCAAGAGCTGCCTCTGAGACCTGAACCAGCTGCTCCTGGTCCAGCTGGCCAGAGGCATCCTACCAGACCCCTCCCAGGTGATGTTCCTAAGGAGCCCCTCTTATTTTTTGTAGCCTTTGCCTGCCAGGAGCATCCCCTGGGAAGGCTAATGGAGCCAAAGGTCCCAGGTGCCCTGTGGGATCCCAGCCAGGTGGGGACAAGGCACAGAGCTCCCTGCAGCACCTGGGGGCAACCACACATCATGGGACTGGGGACAAGCTCCTGAGGCTGGAGCAGGACAACTCCAACCCCCCTTACCCTTGAGGAGCTGGCTGCTCCTTATTGATTAATGTTGTGATTCATTTCTCTAAAAATAGGCTCTTAATTACTGAGCCTCTGGAAACAGAGCTGTCTCACAGCAAAACTTGATTGATTCGAGGGCAGCTGTGGCTCTGGTGAGGGCCTGGTGGCCACAGAGCCTGGATGGCTCCTGCCAGAGACAGCTCCTGGCCAGAGGAGGTTTCACGCTGGTTCAGGTTCCCAGCTCACAGCTGATGGATATTTGTTTTTTCCAAGTGTCACTTGGTTTTGCTTCTTAACTTTCTGTATGTAATTGCAAGCATGTGGCACTCAGAGGCATTTGGACTTCTCTTCCAGTGGAACAAAATGGGAGGAAAAATGTTCATTTTTCGCTAGTGCTCCTGAGCTGTGTGTAGAGAAGGGAAAAAACTTTTCTGCTTTCTTTATTTCTTAATTTTTTGTTTGTTTTGTTTTGTTTTGTTTTGTTTTGTTTTGTTTTGTTTTGTTTTGTTTTGTTTTGTTTTGTGTTGTTTCCCACCTTCTTCCTTTACATGGAGAAATACTTTGTGGGAACTTTAATGCTTTTCCCTTTTTCTCCTGTCCCAGAGAAGGTGAGCAAGATCCCAAAAAGTCTGAAAAGAGAGAAAAAAAATAGAAAATAGAGTTGAAAATAGATTTATTTTCTGGGGTTGTTTAATCTCTCTGAGTTTGGGTTCTTGTGTCAGGAGTGTCTTGCCATGTCCTGGAGATGGAGGGGGGTATTTGAGAGCCCTGTGGTCCCCCACCCTCCACAAGCACCACAACCTCTGTGCAGCTGAGGCAAGGGGAATACAGGGGCCCTCTGAGACAAATTAAGGAGAAAAAGGGAAGAGTGGTGCAGTTGCTGGCTGCCAGCACTGTCCCTGCCTCCCTCCCTGGCCAGCGTGAAGGCCATCTGTCACTTGACAGATCAGCTGGACTCCGCTCTCCATCTCCATCTGCTCCCATCCAGGCTCCATGTCTGTTGGGTCTCCCTCCTGCTCCATGTCCCCTGTGATCCCACCCAGTCCCTGCCCCCGGCTGGGATGGGCACCAGGGGATGCTCAGAGAGCCCTGAACATCCAAACCCATGGGTCCTTGCTCGCTGCATGGGCTGCAGATCCTTGCTGACCTACTCATAAGTTTTTTTCACAGCTTTTGTTTTTTTTTTTTCAAGGCTGAATCTTTCACTCTGGTGGTTGTGTGGCTTCATTTTGCTTATTCAAAGTTTCTTCCAGTTGAAGTTTTATGGGTAATTTTTTAATTCTTTGCCTAAGGATATATCAAAGGGTGCATCCCTCCTCAGAGGGATTCAAGCCATGGCATCCACAGGAAAGGCTCACCCTGCTGAGCCCCATTCCTGCTGTCCCACAGCTGTAACAGCCACCCCAGAACAGGGGAGAACACAGGACAGAGCTCCTCCAGAGCTCTGAAGGATGTTCCACCAGGGACACTCAGGGGACACTGGGCCTGGGACAGCAGTGCTGGCAGCTGTCACCAGAACTCACACCTCAACTCTGTGAGAACTCCAATAATTTTTCAACATCACCAGCCAAATTTCCTCAGATTTTCTGGGGACAGGAGAAGGCAACATTCCCATGTCCCTGTTCCTCTGGCTGGCAACATGACAGCTTTCCACTGGAGTGACAGATTTTTTTTTTCTTAATGCAGGCCAAAGTAATTTTCTCTCATTAGAGCTGCTGATACAACTGGAAGAAGTGAGTTCTTTCTCCAAAGCTTCATCTGCCAGTGAGGGGCAGCATCCCCCCAGAAAATCTTGGGGTGTTTGGCTGTCCCAGCTTCTCGTCCCTCTGGCTCTTTGCACTGGAACTTGGAAAGAAAAATATTCTGGGATGGAAAATTTCAAGCCTAAAGGGTAAAGTTGGACAAAATCCAGGTGAGACTTGGCAGAGAGACCCAGCAAAGGTTGTTCCTTGTGCTGACATTTTTGCTCTGTGCTTTGGAGAGCCTCCCTGCAGCTCTGCTCCAGCCAGGTCAGGCTCTGCTCGTGTAAGAGGTTTTGTTAACACCACCACATATGACTTTCTCTGGGTTTTCCCTATTTATTTATTTATTTATTTATTTATTTATTTCTTTATTGTCTCTGGAGCTGTGAATATTGCAGAAGCAGACACTGCAGTGGTCTTACATCCTGTGGGGATGGCTGTCCCATCAGCCCACCCCGCTCCCAGAGGTGGCCCAGAGGCTTTGAACCTCTGGCTGCCTGTCCACAGCAGGCACTGCACATCTGTGGTAGCACCAGAACACCCTGACACAGCCCACTAAATCATCTGATGGAAATGAGGAGCTGGGATCTTGTTGAAGCTCTGGTTACTGGAAACCAAAAGCAAAGAGCGACTGTATCTGTGCTGGCTCTGGGATGCACATGAGGGTGCTTTGAACAAGGGACCTGCTGGAGACTGCTCTGACTCCTTCTCCCTCCTGTGAGTTCTTCCACTCAGGTCTTGCCAGAGTGTGCCAACCCATCCCTGCAAGGCTGGAGGAGCTCTGCAGGAGGACCTTCATGGGCTGTGCTGAGTCCTGGGCTCCTCTGCACCAGGAAGGACCCCACAGCACTCCTTGGGGACGCCATGAGTCACTGAGAATGTTCTGAATGTTCTGGCCAGGTGCTGAGGCCAAAGGCCTCAAAATTCACCTGTGGAGAAACAAGAAGATTAGATCTGACTCATTCCAAAAGTTTAAACCATTTTTGTGTTACTAAAAACTTGCCTTTATGCTCTAGGTATTTTTTTTCCAAAAAAGAGAAAGACAGCAAATTCAAGGTAAAAAAAAGCAATTTGAAGATGAGAGATGAATCTGCTTTGCCATAAATTTGGAGAAGTCATCACCAAATCTGGTGTGGGGTTGCTGTCCTCTCCTTCCCTCCAGGGAGCACTGTGGCATCTCCTTTCCCCTGGATTTTCCCTGTTCTAGAGAGAACGGATTGGTGTTTCTTACCCAGAAACAGAAATACAGCTCCAACAACCTTCCTGTGCAGCTCTCTTGTTCCCTGCTTTTCTGACTGTGTTCCTTCCTCAAGAGGATGACGAGAGGCCAGAAACTTCATCATGTGCATGGTCAGGAAGGGGCTACTCATCCCTAGGGAGGTGGATGTGCTTTTGTCCCAGGGCAGAGATGCTTAAAGCACCACGATGCAGAAGTGATCCTCAGTAGGATCCTGCCCCCCCTTGGGTCACATCAGCCACCCGAGACAGCAGCACAGCTTGGACATGATTTTGGGTGGAGCCCGTGGTGGTGGCAGCGGTTCCTGGCTGTTCTATGCTGAGGGGACAGCTGGGAGGGTGAGTTGGGGATGGCTCTGGGTAGGGTGTGCTGGTGGAGCTGCTGGAGAGAGCCCAGAGGAAGCCACAGAGATGCTGCAAGGGCTGGAGCCCCTCTGCTCTGGAGCCAGGCTGGGAGAGCTGGGCGTGCTCACCTGGAGAGGAGAAGGCTCCAGGGAGAGCTCAGAGCCCCCTGCAGGGCCTGAAGGGGCTCCAGGAGAGCTGGAGAGGGACGGGGGACAAGGGATGGAGGGACAGGGCACAGGGAATGGCTTCCCACTGCCAGAGGGCAGCGATGGATGGGATATTGGGAATTAGGAATTGTTTCCTGGGAGGGTGGGCAGGCCCTGGCACAGGGTGCCCAGAGCAGCTGTGGCTGCCTCTGGATCCCTGGCAGTGCCCAAGGCCAGGCTGGACAGGGCTTGGAGCACACTGGGACAGTGGAAGGTGTCCCTGCCACGGGAGGGGTGGCACCGGGTGGCTTTGCGGGCCCTGAGGCCTTCCCGGTGCCGTGACGGCGGCGGGGCAGCGCGGAGGGGCCGAGGCGGAGGCGCCTCTCGGCCGCTGGGTGGCGCTGCGGCCCCGCCGCCGGGGACAGCGCGGGGACGGCGCGAGCTCGGGCTGCCGCCGGGCCCCGCGGCCTCGCGCCGCCGTCCCTGCCCCTTCCCCGGGTGTCTTCAGCCGGGGTTCGGCCCGCTCTGGAAGCGGCTGCTCTAGCGAATTTTTCCTGCCTCAGCCCCGCAGGCTCGGCCAGCCTCTGCCCCGCTCTCCCCCAACCCCTCCCTCAGCACAGCGCTGGGGACCCTCCAGTTCTCATGACAATTCCAGTTATCCAGCTGCTCTCTAAGAAACTCCAGTTATCCAGGTGTTCTCTAGCCGAGGTGTGCTGGCCCCTATCCTCCAGCCTGAGCCCCCGCTATTCCGGCAGCAGGGCGAGCAGTGGGCAGGGGTGTTCAGCTGTCCATCGTGCAGTGGAATTGGTGCGGTGTCAGGGGCTGAGCAAGGTCCCCAAGGAGCCCCGAGGCAGGTGTCCCAGGTGGGTGGCACTGAGGCTGCCTTTGGGTGCCTGCACCAATTCCCTTGTTGCCTGCCTGCACCAGGGCTCCTGCAGGGTGCTGGCAGGGCCAGGTGGGCTAGGGACATCTGGGTTGTCTCTCCTGTTCACATGCTGTGGGACATGGCGGCTCTCTAATGAGCCCTCCTCCTGTGCGTGTTGCCGTCCAGCTCCAGCAGTGCCAGTGCCCACGGGGGATGGTGTGGGTGCTGGGGAGCAGGGTGAGCACATGCAGGGCTGTGCAGAGAGTGTGTGTGTGTGTCCCTGGAGGTGCATGCCAGGGGATTCAGGCAGAGAAGGGTGTTTATTGGGGTACACACGTGTCCAGCGGGTGGGAGGAGGAAGGGGGGTGTGTGTAGCAATGCCCAGCAAGACCAAGGTGGGTCCATCAGCCCCGTCCCTGCTCTGCCCCAGGAGTGCCCAGCTGGTGCAGGGCTCCCCAGAAAGGCTCCTCTCCAGACTGCCCCCCAGACACCTCATCCTGGCCCAGCTGGCAATGGAGTATTATTGCTGCTCCCGAGAGCTGCTGTGGAGAGATCCTGGGAGGAGCTCCCAGCCCATCCATCACACACTGACTTGGCATTTGTGGAGAACCTGAAGCAACAAATTCTCCCTGGGACATGTGTGGTTGTCATTGTCAAGGATGGGCTCAGCAAAATTCCTGCACCCCCTCCAACGTGCCTGCTTCCTTCTGGCACCCACAGGACCTCCCCTTGGCCTGGCCCAAGGGCTGCCCTTTCCTGGGAAGGGGACCCCAGAGAGTCCCCTTGGCCACCCTGCAATGAGCCCATCTGCCAGCCCGGCCCACGTCACAGCTGGACAGGGGAGGGTGCAATCATGTTTGAGAGTCTCGCCAGGACAGGCACAGCTCCCGCAGCCTGGCTCTCTGGTGCCAGGGATTACTGGGGCAGCACTTTGCTTTTACAGACAGGCATGGTGGCATCTGGAGTGCTGCACCCTGCTGTGCTGCCCAGTACAAGACAGCTGCTGGTTTCTAGGCTGAGCCCAGGGAAGAGCTGAGGAGGGTTAAACCACTCCCAAGAGAAGCAGTGCTCTCCACCTCTGGAGGTATCCAAAGCCTGTGGGCTGTAGCCCAGAGAATCCAGCTTTAGGTGACCCTGCCTGAGCAGGGATAGCACTGGACCATCTCCAGAGGTCCCCCAACCTCAGAGAGTTCAGAGTCAGTTGTGAGGGTGTCAAGCCCTGAAACAATGGGGCAAATGTTCAAGGCCAGATGACAAAAAGAAATAAGAATCCAGTTTTGTTTTCTTTTGCAAGCATCTCTAGTTGCAGAGGATGGACAGCAATGAAGGGAAATCCTGGGTGGTGGTGGGAGATGGAAGAGAATTAAAGTCCCAGACCTGCTTTAGCTGTCCTGCATCACCAGAGGACACCAAAGGGAAATGTGGCATGTTCCCAAATAAAGCAACAATTCAGGTCCAGTCTCATATTTCTCCACCCATAAGCAGATGCTGGCAACAAAACATATGATAAACAATATACAATTTGTCCAAAACTTGGCAATTTTTTCCATGAAGGGTGTTGGGATTCTGATGAAACCTGGTTTTATCATGACATTTTGCTCTGTGAGAAAGCTCTTTTTGGCTGTGCCCAACACTCTGTGTTGCTCAGCAGAGCACAGACGGCCTGACAACAATTTGGCTGCTAAAACTTCTAAAAATAAAAGCTATCATTTTTTCTTTCTTTTTTTCCTCTCTGAAGAAATGTTGCAGCATCACACCTTCTTCCCAGTACAAACTGTCAAACCTCTTCAGGCTGAGGGGCTGTGCATGACATTGAACTCCAAGATTGTGTCATTCTAGTTTTCTGCAGTATTTTGTTCTCAAAATGGGGTATTTTCTCTGGTCTTGGCAGAAAAAAGGAAGGAAAGAAAAGGTCGTAGGGTGGGTTCAAACACTTTTTGTTGTTTGGGTCTGCCCAGACAAGAGCATTTGGGGGGCTCTTCTGGAATTGTCTGCTCTGATGAGGAGGTGGAACTGGGGCTCACCCCTCTGCTCTCTGGGGTGGGGGTGGTTCCTGGTGGTCTGTGCTGAACTGGTTTGAACTGGGGGCTCCATCCTGCAGCAGGGCAGCTGCCTGAGGCTCCCCTCGTGCTGCCCCAGGGCTCAGTGAGGGCTGACACTGCTGACATTGCTCAACAGCCAGCAGACTTCAGAGTGGGGCTGCAGTGCATGAGCCAGAGTTAAATAACAATAATAGATCATTTTCATCTGAATGTGTATCTGTATCTATCTTTACCTACATCTATATCTATATCTATACCTATATCATCTATATCTGTACTTAATTGGGCTTTACTCAAAGCCATGCAGCTCCCATCACCTGAAACATTCAGTTAAGAGGAATTGCTTTCACTTGCAGATGTTTTGAAGAAGCCTCTACCCTCCTTCCCAAGGGAAATGTGGCACCACTGAGTGTCAGACTGGGGTTGGAGGTCCCTGGTGTCTTGGGCACCCCCAGAGGTGTCACCCCTGTGTTTGGACATGGACATGCCCACCAGTCATGCTGTAGGAAAACAAAAGGCATCCAGACCACAAGAATAGCCCTGCCACCCCCTTTGCCCCTGCTCTCAGCCCCTAGCTTTGCTTGGAGCACCTATTGCTCTCAGCTTTACCCATCTCCCGTGTTTTCACTCCGCTTGTACTTCCCTACCTGTTCCTGGGAATGCACCAGAGGCTTTGCATAATGAATCCTATCCATTGCTTCTTCCTCCATTAGACCAAATTCCTTGGCAAGGAGGGAAATTAGATCACCCTGACATAATTTTTTTCCTGGTAGAGTTGTGTTGGCTGGTTTTTATCCTTTATTTTTAATCACATATTGGTACTTACAAATGGATTGTTCAATAATTTGTTCCTAAATTTTTCAAGGAACTGAAGCCAGCTGGGCTGATCTGTAACTCCCCAAACTCTTAATTTCCTTTATTTATGGGTTTTTATTTTTCACAGAAAAAGTGCTTTTCCTGCACTTTCCTAGGATTCCCTAAGCCTTCAAAATTTGTCACAATCTGCTGCTAATGGTTCAGAGGTTGCTGACATTTTCCAGGGTGATTTCTCTTGTCTCCTGACCAGTCAGTGCACTGAGCTTCTCTCGTTACTGGTGATGGCTGTGGGCACTGGTTACAGGCTTGCACTGTGCAGCCATGGTGAGGAAGTTACTGTTTGTGTCTCTGTGTCATGCCTTTGGTTCTTTCCATCACAAGACACGAATGCTGACTCATTTTTCTTTTCATTGCACTTCCAGTATATTTCTGGAACTTATTTCTTTGCCTTTTGTGCCCCTCACTGGCTGTAACTCTCTCTGCTCCTTAGCCTTTCTCATTCTGCCCCCATGCGCTTGAGCTTTCCCTTTATACTCATCCTTATACCCTCATTCCCATTTTTATAGGATTCCTTTTTGATTTTCAGGACACTAAAGTGCTCTTGATGCAGCAATATTGGCCTTTTACTGTTGTCCTGTGGTTCCTCTGCAGCAGGAAGTTTAGCTGCTGTGCACCTCATATACTCTCTTTTAGTAACTTCCCCCAGTCCAGTATTTTGGATTTTTTCCTTGAGATGTCCTCCTAAAGGATGCTGCTGGTGGAAAAGCATCCCCCCGAGTTTGTTCTCTCCATCTTTGTGCACTCATCTGTC